GGGGTTCACTTGTAGTCAATGTCTTTGAGCAGCTCCTTTGTTTAAATGTTGTGTTCGGTGATACTAAGTAGAAGGCCACACATATAACACACAAGCTACACGACCAACGTCACTGAAGACTTTAAAACTATATTAAGTTTATCTTAACTGGTAAACACTTTCAGAAGATATCCATTGTTTCGTTTTTAATCATTTAATCAGCAGTTGAAAAAAAAAATCTTTGCATTCTTTCAGCAAAATTAAAAAAAAAAAAAAAGAATAAAAATGAGACGTCATTCCAAGTAAGGGCTCCCAAGTAAGGGCTCCTAATTAAGGGCCTCCCAAGTAAGGGCTTCCGCGTAAGGGCTCCCAAGTGAGGGCTCCCGCGTAAGGGCTCCCAAGTGAGGGCTCCCGCGTAAGGGATCATCCACATATTTAAGTAGGTACGTCAAACTGAGTTTTCAAAAGAGCTCTAAGGCCTAATTTCATACCGTCGTGTTAAGAACGGATGATTCTAAGAACGTGGATATCAGACTTGGTCACTTAACGGAATTTGTAAAAAAAAAAAAAGTTATGAATTTGTAATATCTTAATACTTTGTCTTTTTTTGTTTTTTTTGTTGTTGTCATTATCAAAAGTACAATTTTCTTAAGGATACTTAAACTCACTCACTTAAACTCAACACAAACCTGTATACATATATATATATATATAGAAGAGATTCAATTTTTTTCGAAGGTGAAAAATAGTTAATTAATTAAATATTATTGAAATGAAAATGGCGTCTCCTCACATTAGTAATAAGAAAAAGAGAGGTCAAAAAAAAAAAAAATTGTAAATTTTCAAAATAAGTACACACAGAACTCGCACTTCACTGATGGGTGGCACATATAGATATATTTCTCTTCCTTCTCCCTCCCCCACTTTTTCCCTTACTAGTAGGTAGAAGTTTATTTACAGCTTCTATCAAAACATTAATAACCTTTATTAATTCTCTGCCCAATCTGTCAGCCAGTCTCGTAAACTGTCCTACTGATTTTCTGTTAAACTCAGAAGGTCTCGTTAAGACTGCCAGTTCGTGTCTTAGGTATTGCTGAAGTGTTAACCTTTAAGTTAAAGCAGTCTGAAGATTTTTTTAAAAAATAATATTTAAAAAAAAAATACAAAATATCATTTGTAAAAAATTGCATGCGTTTACTAATGGCTGCGGCTATTCGGAGCCGGGTCCGAGAAGTGAGAGTTTGGGTTTATTAAAAAAATATTTAAGTAATTTTACAAACATATAGTCCGTTCAATTATCTTTCATTTAGATACCAAATTTTGTCTTAAAACATACAAATTTAAAAAAAAAAAAATTTAATCCCAACTTCTAACTTCTCGGACCCTGGTCCGAATAGCCACTTCGTTTACTAATTAAACAAACAAAGAGAATATTACGCTATTAAGAGTATTTGACTTTTTTTTAAAATATATAAATAGTGAATGTCTCATTGTAAAAATGTTACGTTAAAAAAAAATTAAAGCTTATTTACTACGCTCGTTGGTTGTACAGTCAACGAATCGGAACCACACTAAGAAAACAACTGTTCACTTGTGCAATGTTTTTTTTGAGATGTACACATTGCTTGTCCATAAAACACGTTTGTGCGTAGCTTAGTTTCTTCTGAAGAATGATTTCCCTGACTAAGACTCTGAAAGACATTGATGGTTGCTATCAGGGAAATTTTTTCAAAGGTTCCCTCTGTTGAAGGGTAAGGGTACACCCAATCTGGCCAGATGCCTGGAACAGGTAATTTTTGAACATATACAAATTCAGATGATCCTCTTTGATTTCATCGCCTGGCCATGATTAATTAATTTTTATTGCTACTCGTGGTTAGGATATTACATGAATAAAGAATACACAAAGTCTACTTGTCTCTTTATTTCGTTCAAGGCCTTCCCTATCTATCATAAGTGTTTGGTTAACACAAGCATGCACGCTACTCTAGTTCCTGGCTATTACGTATTAGTGACTTTTAGAGGTGTGATACATTTTTTTAGGAAGGGTGCTTACGAGAATTCCCAGACTGATAGAAAATTAAAATTTTGATTTTTAAGTAATTTTTTTTTTTATTGATTGTTTGCTTGCTTGTTTTTTCTGTATTTTCTTAGAGTAAGACGCAAGGATGAATCAAACCATGTGATTCCTACCGTAAGTGTGGAACTAACGCTAAGAGAGACAACCGCTGGAAAAGCGTTCATGTATAATTAGAGAATACACCATTAGCCCCGCTGTAAAATCATTTAAGAGTTTCAAACTTGTTCCAAAATGTATTTTCTTCTTACGGGTTTAACGCAGTGCCCCCCCCCTTTTCCCCCTCATTTTATCATTAAAACAAAGACTAAATCTGCCAGCGTAGTGAAGCACCAGAATACTAAGTCAATGACAGGCCAGCAAATCAGTGGAAGAAACGCAAGCGCCAACCGGGGTAGATCATCAA